AACAAGACATGCTTCTCTTTGCTCTAAACGTCGTATATATTGTAGTTATAGTGAAAGTTCTCTGTCATGGCCTGCAAAAGGTCGGAATTTGATTTGATTCTATAAATAGATTTCCCCAGAATCAAATCAAAATATTGTGATGAGCAAAACTGTGAGTGGATGGTTGGAGGGAGCTCTTGTGTGGCTGGCTTGCTCTTCTTCCTATCAATCAAACATCTATTGTCCGTATCTCTCCTTCTTTTCTTGGTATGTTATTCTCTTGTAAACACTTCTAATCTTCAGCACTTATGTGACCCAGTTGTGTTTCAAGGGCCGTAAAACTCTTACTAAACTAAAAGTGTATACGTGAGTAGTTTATATGAATTTGAACAAAGTTTACATTCCCAGTTATGGAAAGTTTTGGACCATTGTACAAAAACCAGTGGGCACCCCATTGCATTCTGCCACAAATAGAGAACATTTTTCCCCCCCAGTAGAGATCTAGCTCATTTGCGTATTTTGCAACAAACAAAAAAAAAAAAAAAAAGAAAAGAAAAAGTCAAACCCAAAAGCATCCCCCCCCCCCTCCCACAAACCAACAACAAAAAGACCTTCCAAAAAACACTACAAGCGAACAAACTAAATGATGAAAACAGAAGCAGGAAGCAGTTTGTATAACGTTAAACTGAACTTGACAGTGTTTCCAGGATGTGCCTGCGATCAATGCACGAGCAAAGCACCAGCTCATTTCTTACTCACGCCTAGAGGATGCTGGCACTGTTTTTGTTTTTGTTTTTGTTTTGTTTTGTTTTTGTTTTTTTAAGAGGAGACAGTCAGTGGGTGGTTGGAGGGTGCTCTGGTGTGGTTTGCTCCTTCTTTCCTATCAAACATCTATCGTCCTTATCTCTCCTTTATTTTGTGTTTGTTACTCCCTTGTAACACACCTAATCTTCGGCACTTATATCACTTTATTGTGTTGCAAATGCCGTAAAACTCTTAGGGAAAAAACGGAGACAGTCATTTGTTAGGATTTGTGTTTTTGTGCTTTTGGCACTGGTGTATCTTTGTATGCTGAGTAGCTTGAACTGAACTAAAACTAACTCATTTTTATTGATTCGTTCTTTTCTGTGAATTAATTTTTGACGCCGTATATTTTTCGATTTTTAATTAATTTTTTTTTTGTAAAGAAGAGACAGTTGCTATAGTTTGCCTTTGTGTGCATTGGCACTGGTGTATCTTTGTACTCGGAGTAGCTTGAGCGGAACTAAAACTAACTCATTTTCATTGTTCCACTCCTTTGTGTGAATTCATTTTTGACACCATTTGTAAATTTTAAATTTAATATTTTTTAAAGAATAGACAGTTGCTTTGATTTGTGTGTTTGTAATGTGCTATTGGCAATGGTGTATCTTTGTAGATCTACTCTGAGTGGCTTGAACTAACCTAAGGCTAACTCATTTTCATTGTTTCGTTCCTTCGTGTGAATTCATTTTTGTTTGTTTATTTCAAGTTCTGCTGTTATTCTTGTTTTACGTAGTGCATTTGTTTTTGATGAATTGGGTGTTTGTTTTTTTAAATTAAAATTTTTATCTTTATTTAAACTACCAGTAGTAACAGCAGTTGTTTCACTTTCTGGCTTTGACGTTTACCTCATGATTAAACTAGTGATCTTTCATGAGCTGTAGTAACAATTTTTGTAAAGATGCAGGATTATAATTTTGCATGTCACATTAAAAGCATTCCCCTCATTAACATTTTGATTTTAATTATCTTCTGTTAAAGTTAAAGTTTAAGTGTTTGAAGTACATGGACATGTGCTCACTAGAAATTTTAAAGAAGTTTTTAATAATATTATCGCGAGAAAAATTCTCAAAAATTTGTTTTTGAAAAACTTCCAGCCTTGTCTCTTTTTAAAAATTACACCCACCCTTGTGTTTCTCTGTTATTTCTTTGTATTTTAGTTATACAATAAAATTGTAGTATTCTCTTTACTAACTAAAATGTTTCGGTATGTTTTTGGTTGGTCTAACTCTTTGCTTTTGGGATGTTCTTTCCCACTCAGCTCGGGTTAATCCTCGGTAGTTACTAGGTGCTCTGGTGTGGATTGCTCCTTTCCTGTCAAACAATCATAATCACCCCCCCGGGGCGGTGCTACTGACTGAAGTGTCTTTAGGCCATTCCCAAAGGGGGGACATTAACCATGTTCTTATGCACAGTAAAATTATAATTGTAAATAGGCTGATTCATCAATGTCATGCTCACAACTGTACCTGAACTGCAACAGGGAACTGCTGCTTTTTCTTTCCTAATCCTTACTATCATCATTTTTCCTCTACTTCTTTTGTATATTTGTCACACTCTTGTGACCTGCTATTTCCGGTGTGCCTTGATAGTTGAAGCAAACTTTGTGCTGTTGAAGCTAGAGAGGTGAGCAGAATAAGTCTGATTCCTTGAAGGACTTCTCTGTTGACATCCACCCCTTGGCGCTCATATGACCCTATGCAGTTGCGAGTGCTGTAAAACAGAGGTTTTACAAACAAACAACCGTCATCCCTGTTCTTCTCTCCTCCTTATTTTCTGTGGGTTTCTCCCTTGCAACACCTAATCTGTGGCACTTACGTGACGCAATTCTGATGCAAGTGTTGTAAAATTTTTTCAAGAATAAAACCAAAACTGAAGTCCGGGTTGGTCTAACTTCCTTGGCTGTTTTCACATCTCCTGTCTGTCTGTCTGTCTGTCTGTCTGTCTGTCTGTCTGTCTGTCTGTCTGTCTGTCTGTCTGTCCATCTGTCTGTCTGTCCATCCGTACGTCTGTCCGTCTGCCTGTTTGTCTTTTTGACTTCCTGTGTATCTGTGCGCGGGGGTGCTGTGGTGTGGTTTGCTCCTTCTTTCCTATCAATCATCTATCATCCTTATCTCTCCTTCTTTTTTGTGTTTGTTATTGTCCTGTAACACCTTTTTTCTTTGGCACTTACATAACCTAATTGTGTTGCAAGTGCTGTAAAACTCTTACTAGACAGCAACGAAAATGTTCCTTCTTAAAAAAAAAAAATTCTCCTTTCACTTCCTTTTCTGCGCTAATCATGTTCTGTCATCTTCCTTCTTTTCCACTTTCAGCACCCCCGTCCCCCCACCTTTGCCCCCTCCTCTGGGCTCCTCGCTCTTTCTGCAGCTTTTCTGCTTCTATTCCTTGGCTCCTTCTCACGGCTGCCTTTCAGCCACACCCCAGATCTTAAGGAAGGTAAGATGTAACATCTAGCTTTCTCGGATAAGGGCAAAAAGTTTCGGAGGTCTCATGTGCAAGTTGCGCAGGTTAAATATCCCTTGGTGGTACAAAATCGATAAGAGTAGGCTTCAGCTGCCACCCGAGCAAAGTAAAAAATTAATTCCTACCAAACTACCAAATAGGCCTAATGTATCCCACGCGCTCATTTGACCTTATGCAATTGAGAGCGCCGTAAAACACTTACAAAAAAAACCCCTCTCTTACTAAAACATGACTATCCCTCTGTGTGTTTTGTTTTTTCCACCCCGCGCGATCATTGAAGGTTAATTCTCATACCAGTGTACTGGTTTTGAACCCCAACTATCAGAATGGTGCCCCTGGTAGGTCCTATTTGTGTGTCACGACGCAATGGATTCAGGCTCTCATCAATTTTGGGGCGTGTAGAGTAATTGGTATCATCCTAAAGCTTATTCATTAGTCTTGCTTTTAATGAAAAAAATATCCATTTATCTTGAATGCAAGACGAGATGTTTGCGAATGAAGGAGGTGGGTGTCACCTGGTTTCAGAGGTAAAATTAGTGAGAAAATGGCTACTAAAGATGAGTAATTTCCTTTAATTGAGAGTCTGTGGAAACTGAAAATTTACATTTTTTGTGTCTTTAATCAACGTTTTTCAGTAAAATCCACACAGAAGTGGTCATGAAAGGTGCTGAGCCAAAAAACAAAAATTTGATTAAAATTCACAAACCTGTGGAAAAATGCCCGTTTCTTCACTCTGATTATTTTGATGAGCGACTGATTTCTCCACACTGTCTCATATTTTATCCCTCTATGGTTCCCGTATATACGTATGTCCTGCTTTTACCCCGATTATTATGTCATGATGTAAATTTTCCCAACAAATGTGGACACGCAAATTAATTCAGAGATCCAATCATCTGAAATTGTCCAGATTTTGACAGACTTCTTAAAATTTGATCTCTGTGTGCATTTTATATTGCATGTGGTATACAAATTATAGTCTTGATACAAGATTTATGAGACAATATCAGTCGTGAATTCTGATTCCTCGCACACACATTTTTGCAGCGTCCAAGAGTGATTGGAGGGTGCTCTGGCGTGGTTTGCTCCTTCTTTCCTATTAAACATACATCTGTCGTCCTTATCTCTCCTTTTTCTTTTTTGTGTATGTTACACTCTTGTAACTCGACCTCTAATCTTCGGCGCTCATATGACCTTTTTGTACAGCAAATGCTATAAAAACTCTTACTTAGGAAAGAAACATCTATCGTCCTTATCTCTCCTCCCTCTTTTTTTGTGTGTGTTTGTTACGCTCTTGTAACACGACCTTTACTCTCCGGCACTTATAAGACCTTATGTTTTTTATTGAGTAGCGAGTGCGGGTGCTCTTGTGTAAAAACTTTTATAGGTGGTTGGCGGGTGCTCTGGTGTGGTTTGCTCCTTCTTTCCTACCAAACATCTGTCGTCCTTATCTCCCCTCCTTCTTTTTTTTGTATGTTACTCCTTTGTAACACATAATCTATTCTTCGGCACTTATATGACATTATTGTGTTGCAAGTTCAAGTGCCGTAAAACTCTTACTAAAACTAAAAAGCTAAAAAAAAATTTACCAAAAACCCCCCCAAAAAACTCACCCTCCCTCACACAAAACCCAACCCAAAACAAACAAAACAACAACAACAACATATTAAACAACAAAACAAAACCAAAAATGCAACCAAAAATGCAACCAAAAACTAACGGTGCGCAGATTTCTCCGTCTGGTCCTCACCCAGATATCCAGACGGTCCCAGCCGGCCAGCAGCAGTGTTGACGGAATCTCCTTCTCCAAACCACGGCGCACGCAGTCGGGCACACATCTCGGTGGCAAGGGACGACGATCGCAGCACCAGCAGCAGCAGCAGAGCAGCGGAGGGGACGGAGCCCGCCCGAGGTCGCTGTCACTTCCTGGGAATCCGTCGAAGGAGGCAGCTGTTGCCATTATGAAGACGCACGTGAAGGCGCGCTGTGAGGTTGGTGGTAGAAGGTAGATAGATAGATAGATAGATCGATCGATAGACAGATCGATAGACAGATCGATAGATAGATAGTTCGATATATATATAGATAGAAAAATAGATAGATAGATAGATAGTTCGATAGACAGATAGATAGATAGATAGATAGATAGATAGATAGACCACAGTGAGGTTGGTGGTTGTGTTGTTTCTTTTGAGGCTGAGCTAGATAAATAATTTATTACATGAGTTGTGGTGTTAGGGCCTATATTAGGATTTATCCTACGACTGAAATTGACAAGTCAAGTTATAATCATGAGTTTCAACGAGTGATTTCAACTGGCAATTTCACTAGTAGGATTAATCATGGTCTAACACCATAATGAGTGCAATAATTTTTTTATACCATACTGATATCAGCTGGTGAAATAGATTCGAACCAACAAAGTTCAAATGACCAGCCAATTCGACATGAGGATCCATTCAAGAGTCTCACATGAAAACAGGATTTTCATGCACGTCCGAGTCAGGATTGGTAAAAATCTGGATTGTTTTCCTTTTTTTTTTAACCACGCTAATTTACATGTTGTGTTATCCATATAATGTTACGCTAGCTGTAAATGCCAACCCGGGTCACCCCGAAATGTTGCTGGCTAAAGGGGCGTTGGTGAAACCGTGACTGGCCAAGCAAGCCGACGGCGGATAAATCGTGCAACGAGACACACATGGTGTCAGAGGACAAATGTTAGATAATGTCAGAGCTCTATACACCAACAGCAGAAGCTCCGTTAGAATGAAGGAAGGCAATACAGACAGGTCCAAAGTAAGATCTGGAGTATGACAGGGATGCGTTCTATGTGCCCTCCGGTAAATAATATATATGGACACTATGATGCAAGAGGCAGACCAAAGCCCAGAAAGCTTAAATGAACTTCTTTTCGCAGACAACCAATGTCTTATTCATCCAAACCAACAAAGCCTCCAAAATCACACTTCCGAACTGAACAACAGCTGCGAGAAATTTAGCATGAAAATAAGCACATCAAAAACAGAAGTTATGAAAGTGAGCCAGAACAGTAGCCCCCTGAACATCTATGTCAATAGTAAACAACTGAAACAGGTGAAGAAGTTTAAATATCTTGGCAGTACTTTTTCTTAAAACTGATCCATAGACAGAGAAATAAAATGCGAACTCAAAAAGCCAACACTGTCACCTACCAACTCGCACCCCTCCTATCTCATCCAAACATCTCTATGGACACAAAGAGACAGCTTATCACCTCAATATTCATACCAACATTATGCTATAGTGCCAGACCTTGACATTAAGTAAAACCCATGAAAACAAAATCACTGCATGTGAAATGAAATGTCTCTTCAAAACCTTTAACATCACAAGACGAGACAGGCAGAGAAATGAAGAAGTAAGAGCAACTATTGGCGTCGAGTCCTGCCTGCTTTACATAGAAAGACAGAATAAAAATGGTTTGGCCACCTGTTACATATGTCACTTGGCCATCCGGCCTTGAGAACCTACAACACCAAGCACTCAGGCTATAAAGGAAGAGGAAGGCCACGCAAAAGGTGGATCGAGGGTGTCAAGGAAACTCGGAGAAAACATAATATCACAACTGAAAGAGCTGTGGAGCTGGCCTGCCATAGAAGACTGCATCTTTCCTCAACGCTTAATAGCAACAGAGGATTAAAAAATAAAAAATAAAATCAAAGTTATCCGTATGCCTCTCTCCGTGAAATAAACCCCAAAAGAAACTATAATAACGCAAGCATAGGCAAAGCAAGCAGAAAACGTACGATTCAAATGTTGAAAAATTTAGAGACTGCGTTTATATGACATGTTGTAGTGAGAATAGAGATGACTTTGATTTTAAACTTTGCAATCAAAACAAACGAAAGGCTGGGAGTCGTTTGCTAGGTTAGCATAGACTAGTTAGCGTTGCACTAAAATACATTGCCGCACTCTGACGTAATCCAGGTTCACGATGGTGCGCACCATTTGACTCAGTTTGGAACAAAATTAAGGGCAACGTAGGGAGTTGTACCTACCCTCTACCATAGGGACAGTTGGAGACTGTTGTTTGGCACTTCATTTGGGTGCCTATGGTGAGCATGCTTTGTAGCGAAGTTTTTACAAGGGGGAAAAAGTGGCTGCTATGACATTGCACGGTCTAGGAATTTTATGATTCAAGTGTAAATTTTGCTTAAGAAGGTTAGAAGGCGAATATAGTGCGCGGAGTAATTTATGCAAATTTTTATATTTCGCGCGTGAGATATCAGCGAAGCCAGCCTATATTGTACGTGAAATGTAAGGATTTATTTTACGGGAAGTGCAATGCTAAAACAACTCCTAGTATGGTATAAAGATAGATAGACAGGCAGACAGACAGTCGGGCGGACGGATAATTATAAAAATAATAATAAGAAGAAGAAGAATGGCTCTTCACATCTGTGACAGATGGTCGTGCACAGATTTTATGTTTATTGTTGGTGCTTTGTCAGCGGCAGCTCTGTCGTAAGCAGTGTTTTTCATGGCTGGTTCTTCCTGCGATAGAAAGGCAGAAAGTCAGCTGCTTTTTAGTTTTGTAGAGGTTTTACGGCACTCACAACTACATAAGGTCATATGAGCGCCAAGGGGTGGATGTCAACAGAGAAGTCCTTACAGGAAATCGGGCTTACTCTGTTCACCTCTCTAGCTTCAACAGCACAAAGCCATTTTCGATTATCAAGGCACGGGTCACAAGAGTGTGACAAACATACAAAAGAAGTAGAGAAAAAATGACGATAGTAAGGGTTAGGAAAAAAAAGCTGCAGTTCAGGCACAGTTATGAGCATGACATTGATGAATCAGCCCATTTACAATTTACAGTTCTACTGAGTATAAGAATATATTAATATCCCCCCTTTGGGATGGCATAAAGACACTTCAGTCAGTAGCACCACCTCCGGAGGGGG